AAAAATGGCATTAGAAGCATTAGAAAGTCAAGGTAAACTTGTGGTTAACTTAAATGCGTGTGACACTCGCGCACACAAGTAAATATACGCACGTTCATTCTCAGAACGCGTCAGACACAAGACAATATACATTAAAGGGGACCTATCATGCAAAATGCACTTTCTGATGTATTTTATACATAAATATGTGTCCCCGGTGCGTCGGGGAACTCAGGCAGCGTCAGAAAATACAACCCACTCTCTTTTCCTCCGTACCCAAATCTTTGAAAAACAGGGGTAGGCTACAACGAGCGGATACAGATTTGCCGCCAATCTGACGTCAAATCGGCAGCGGACCCACAGCACTATCAGAAACAATGCCTGACCCGTTTTGAACGTGTTTTGGACGTGTTTCGGACGTAATCTCGTCTTTGTTTACATTAGCAAGCCTCGCTAACACTCAGAGCTAACCTGTACTGGAGAGCACATGTGTTTTAAAAAGCAGGAAATCAAAAAAGGAACTCACCTTGTGATAAACCCGCAAGAGAAAAAGCATTTGAGATCCATACTGTTTCAGAAATAATCCTTGATGTGGATAAGAACAGGATGGCGTTTTATTACAACAGAATTTAACTTTATCTCCGGTAGAATTCTGATCAGGCATTAGCTCCGCCTCCTCTTTTTTTTTCAAGCTAAGGACCCAAAATCCGCATTTCTCTAACAGGGCTGCAAAAGAGCAGTATGAAGCATGGCTAGAATGGGTGAACTGTTTGGTATTTTAAGCAAAAAACTTCACAGACCTATATTTGTATAGGTATGGCCCTACAATATATTTTTTCCAATATAGCATAATAGGTCCACTTTAATTTACATCAGAATCAGATTATTTATTTATTAAAAAAAAAAAAAAAAAATTGTTTTTTATTTTTTATAATGGGGACACAGGGTTCGGTCCGGACTGATTTACGGTTCGGTCCGGATCCGGACCTTGGTCCGGAGTTTGAGAAGCCCTGCTCTACTGTATGTTCGAGTTGTGTAGCCATTTATAGTACAATGAAAAAGGAATAATGGATTAGGCAGCCCCCTTAGACTTGCTGTCTGCTTTCTCTGCTCACATCTATGAAGACACACACACACTCACACACACTCACACTCAGTAAGAGAGAGAGAGGGAGAAGTCTTCTTCTTCGATTGCCCTGAGGGAGGTGTCTAACAGAAAGACCCTGAACACCCATATCACTAAGTGCTGCTGGGAAATGGAATGTCTGCTTCCAGTTAGTCAGATGACCAAAAGCTATTGTCATGTGACCACCGGCAGGGTCATGTGATCATAATACAGTGGGATTCAGACAACGGGAGTACTGGGTTTGGGCTGTATCTTTTTTCGCATACTCTCCAGTCATCACACCGGCGTAGAAGATGTATGATTGTGTTTCATAATTATAATGCTTTTTTAGGGCAAAAGGAAAAGTTATAAAAAACCCTGAACTACATTAAACTGGGTGGCTTGTCACTAAATTGAGAATAGCAGGTCCACTTTAACAGTAAGTCCATATTACTGTAAGTTAGCCTTGGATGAATTTTGTGTGTGGGAGAGAAACTCCCTCTGTAGGGAACACAGGGATTTTAGCCTTTGCAGACCATTTACATGCACACAAACCTAAAAAACACACTACAGGAAAGGGGTAAGCATAAAAAAAAATACAGCTATAAGTAAATTACTTTACATTCACGATCATGTGCGTACCCCCTCTCTCAAGCGCATACATGCTTATGTTCTGCACACAACTTTTTTAAGAGTACCTTAAAGGAGTGCACTACTTGTGTAAAAATTATGGATCGACCGATATGGCTTTTTCAAGGCCGATACCGATTATTAATCAAGGAGACTGATAACCGATATTTGGAACCGATATACATTTGCAGTAAAATCAGAAAATCTTGGTGTCGAAATGTAGAATAACACAACTTCTTTGAAATGCCTTTTTATGTTTAATGAACTTTTCAACATCTTAAAACTGGTTTCCTCTCTGTGACCCTGAGTAAAGTAAATAAAAAAAATAAAAACTACTAAAACTTGTTCTGAACTTCTGATATTTGAGTCTCACTCATTTAGTAGTCCCAATTCAGCAGCACCAGATTGTGGTGCAGAAATCTGAGAAGGTCCCGCCTCTCTGGCTGGCTGCAGCCCGGAGAATCTTCAGTATTGATTGACACTTTAGTAATAGCCTATCAGATAGCGCTGTGAGCGGGACATTGCTCGTGAACAGTGGTGACTGCAGCCAGAGAAACGGCCGCATCAGAGCCAAAGTTGTATCGGCAATTTGATTGAAAAAAGGCCGATACCGATAATCTGTAAAATGCGGAATATCGGCCTCGATAATCGGCCAGGCCGATAATCAGTCGACCCCTACTAGTACAAATCCCTGAAGCTTTGGCTCTGTAGGCTTGTGATAAATGGGCGGAAACCCAGCATCATCAGTTGGATTGAAAGAAGAGCATCTGTTTATTTGATGTTAAAATCATACTTTTCTTTCCTGAATTCCCTGGATACTGCCAAAGCCTAGAGAATGGATTGGTAAGCATATGAATGTTTCTGTGTGTCAGTTACTAATGGGATATCATCAGTGAAGTAGCTGCTACAGGATGAAAGGATAAGCTTTTACGTGCCATTACACACACACACACACACACACACACACACACACACACACACACACACATTAATGCACTTAAAACCACACTGAAGCTTTCAGACTTTCTCTCTCCCGGTCTTTGTGTAAAGTGTGTGTAAATCATATGATATAGGTGAGGCCCGGGTTATACAATGTGACAATATGAGATCATCACCTCAGAGAATTGTCCTAATCTGTGAAGCAGCTCACAAGGTTTTCCTAATAGCTTTATAACATGAAATAAGACTTGCACACGTGACCTGGCAGAATCCTCAGCGCTGTTTGGTCGGAGATAAAGTACCACTTTACTTCAACATTTTGGGATTTGGTGTTACTGTAGCTTTAAAAACATGTGTTTTTGTTACATATTAAAATCTAGCACTCAAATAAAACAATGCAATGTAAAAAAAAAAAAGTCAACATATATATATATATATATATATATATGAAAGCTGTTTGAATATTTTGGATTTATTGAAGAAAAAACTACAATTAATTTTAGACAATGTGCCCTTCTGTTTAAAACTGGTTGTCATGGTGATAATCCTGACATGTTGTAGTCTAACCTCCAACGTCTGATCTTGCATCCTTTTGAAAATACAATTGCTTCTAAAAATACAAAATAAAACTCCCACTGTAATTTACTCAGTTTTTTGTGTCTTTTATCCAACAAACAGCCTTTGTGTCACTCCTGCTGCTCTTTCTGTGTTTGTCTCCAAACCAATCCGTCTGTTCACGTTCCTGTCATTTCATCCTCTAATAGGGTCACAGGCATTATTAAATGTTCTGGATGTGTGTCATCGTTTCTTTCCAACGCTCGAATATCTCTTGTTATTCTGCATGGATCATTTAAGAACTTAGAGTCAGATGGGAAGTTGAGACCATATTTTGTTGTAAATCTTTTTTGTGTTTTTAGACCTTATTTTGTCGTTTTCAGGCAACTATGTTTTATTCTTGGTGCATTGATGAGCTAAATGTGTCACCTGTGGTTAGACACAGAGCTGAAGAAGAAAAAGAAACATCAATGTGCAAAAACAGTCAGACAAGGCAACTAAGCTTACCCTCTAAAGCTGATAAACAAGCCGAATACCTAATACTTGTGCCAAACAAAATAATAGTGGCTTTTTAGTTTTCTCCTTGAGACAAATAACACCTTTAACACACATGTTGATGTATAAATGCAAACACACTCACACGTCTTTAAAGGTTCCGACACGCCCACACTTCCCGTTGCATATTTGTTTATTGAGGTGTCAGTGGTAGAGCTGGAATGCCCATTAAAGAGTGTGTGAGCGGGACATTTCTAAGAAGCTTGACGTCTGCGGGATGGAAGAATGTTGACAGTAACTTCCGCTTGTTTGGGTCACGCTGAATGGCTAGGACCGCTGCTAATAAAGACTCAGTTAAAGCGTGGTGCCGATGTTATCGGCCAGATCCAAACAAAACAAAGTATGAAGGACACACAGGACAGCTGTGGATTGGAAGTTCCTTTTTTTTAGGAGAGTGCTTCTTGGTGGGATGGTGCGATCTGGGAGGAAATCGCCCTCAAGGTGTCAGTCATTAATAATACATGTTTCTGGTGCCATCATCTCAAATTGTAATATTTTTCGGTTCTGTCATTTCTGTAATTTTCTAAGTGTAGCATTATGAGCACGGACACTTACATGTTTTACATTGGATATAATTATAGCAAACAGTTCAAATGAAACCACAGAAAGTACATTTAGTACTTGAGGAAAAACATCCATGTCTACAAACTCCCTATGAGAACAGTGGAGTTACAAGTCATAGTCATATCAGATATGGGAAATAAGAAAGAAGACATCAACACATTCATTCCCATTTATTCCCTCCTGCAAGTCAAATCAGTCGATCTATACAAATTGTTTCAAACCATGTGTCACAAAGTAAATCTCAGAAAAATGAAGCACGTACTTCACGACGAAAAGGAATCGATCAAACATGTAGTCTCACTCTGACAGATTTCCGTGGCTTCTTTGAGTTGAGATAACAGAGCAGTCTACTGTTGTATCCCTATCCACATCCTACTCTGGTACAGCATGTAATTACTATATGGCATCTGAAAGTGCATCTGCATTCTCGCGATGTTGCGTCAGAGTAAAAGAAGTTGTTATTATCCAATGCTGTTCCTTTTGTTGATTAGCTTGACTCTCCGCCCCTTAAACCCTCTACTCTCTTAACTTGATTGCCATCGCTCTCTCTATGATAGAGTTGTTCTATACATACATGTTTTGTTCAGTTAAATGCTTTCTAGATTCCTGATAATGTTTCCTTAGTATTTGTGATTTATTTATGACTCATTTTCCTCTTCTTTCCTGTGTGCAGGATCGCAAACTATCCAAGTCGGAGCGTCAGCGCTTCAAAGAGGAGGCCGGGATGTTGAAGGGTCTCCAGCATCCTAACATTGTCCGCTTCTATGACTCCTGGGAGGGCCCATGCAAAGGAAAGAAATGTATTGTTCTGGTCACAGAGCTCATGACATCTGGCACACTTAAAACGTGAGTACATGAGAGGTAAAAGGGTCTTTTCTGTAGCTGCCTCTGTTTATTCACTATTGCTGTGTAATTTGGAAAGGCAGATCAACTATGTTTTCAGTTGGTACAACAGAAAAGCTGTCTAAATGTAATACAAAGACTATACGTCATGCGTTATCATGTGAAACACTTTTCACAGGGAATCTGCACACACACTCCTATCAACCTCCTCTCCCCTGCTTCTAAAGAGCACCGTCATTATGGATGATGACTCACCGCCAGTTTTTTGTTGAAATGTCCCACTAAGGTTAACACCTGGATCTTCCTCTTTCCTGTCAACCTAATATGCATCTTTTCCTCTTCATTTTCATCTCAGCACATCACATCCCGGCAGTGCAGCTGTTAGTGGGTCAGCTCCTGTTACTGACTTATTACATGTACAGTATGTGCCTGTGTCTTTATGGGGTTGATTTAATGTCTGTCTATGTACAGATTACATTTTATGAGTGAAATGGCATTGCCCATATGCACTGTAATGAATCAATATCTATCCACCTCCCAAGTAAGGTGTGTCATCACCAAATGCCCAACATAAGATGAGAATCTCCAGAAGTATGAGGAGAATCCTTTCTCTGTGTGTGGTGAGCTGTAAATCTCTGGTTTGAATGCTGATATTAGGGGGGTCTGTCAGTGTCGCCCCTCCCCAAAATGTTCTGTAGTGAATCAATGCATCTGTGTCATTGTCCATGCCATGACTGCATGCCACTCCCCTGTACAGAATAGATGTGTGTCCATGAATGACAATGTGATTGTTGAGCTCCTCACACAATAAAAGGCTAAATGCAGGGTGTGTGGCGCACGCCGTGCCCCACGCAATGCATGGTGGGACATGGGCCCACCTGCCAGCTGCTGCTTCTGCTGCAGATTCCTCTCATTCCAGACAGAGGGAGAGACCAAGCCAGGCGTGTGGGGGGGCGGTGGGTACAGACTAGTTTTATGCAGAGTCACAGAAAGAGGAAAGAAGAAAGTGAACAATCTGAGGAGCTGACACTGAGACAGTCAGCTAAAGAGGTGGAACAGATGACAGATACTAAGTCAAAGGTCAAATGAATAACTAGATATGCTGGTTTTAGGTCCAAGGCAGAGTGACAAACTAATGAAACACCTGTGACCACAGTTAGACAGAGCATTAATCCAGCAGCACAGCAGCACCCTCCACTGGATATATAGGTATTACAATATTCCGATGTTTGCCATGCTGCATCTGATCTAGCATGTTTGAGAAAGATACAAAAGAAAGGCATCTCTTGGGAATGTGCCCTTTAAACAGTCCCTCACTGTACATGTGGTGAATGCATGTACATATATGCACAGGATCCGGCTGCACGGGGTCTGGCTGTCCTCCAGAGGCAGCCTCAGAAAGGAGAGGCGCTGCTGTGTGCTGAGGTGCTGGAAAAGAGTGAGACGGTGAGAGGGAGGACTGATAGGAAGGGAGGGTGGCGGTCAGGATGGAGACACTGACCAGCATCAGTTAGAGGCCCCTTATCTGTGTGTGTCCATGCAGGGTGGGCCGCCCAGGTATATTAACGGCCGCCCAAGTATATTTTGCGACCCATTTAGGTTTGTTTTTTTTTATAATTTTTTTTTTTTTATTCGTCCGTGACCACGACGCCATCTGCGATCGATTAACTTGTGGACAATGATCCCTTGCTCCCTTGCTCTGATCTCGCCTCCTTCTGGCCTGTTAAATGGCCTGCCTCACACAGGGTGACTGGCTGTCCACATGATGTGGCCTGCCGACATGGCCACTGTCATACAGATCATAAATCAAAGCCCTTGATTGGTCTCTGTGTGTCATTCAAGCTCGGGATAACCTCAGCTCAGGTGAGGTAAAGGACTCTCTGAGTGTTTAGATAGTTAACTTAGTCTAAGTTCTCAGTGGGTCTCAAACGGTGTGGTCACCATTTATGTAAACACATATTTCCATTTGAGAGGGTAGTGATTGGTCTAATGGGGTGGGCTGAAGATCGGAAGGCTGTGAGTTCAAATCCCGCCAGGAACACCACCACTAGTGTGCCCTTGAGTAAGGCACTTAGCCCTTAGTTACTCCAGGGAGAATGTCCCTGTAATCGGTCATTATAAGTCGCTTTGGATAAAAGCGTCAGCTAAATGAAATGTAATGTGATTAGTAAAATATGCATGAATAAATAAATAAAAAGTTAACTAGGTGAAAAAAGGTAAGATACACTTTTAAAACTTGTTGAGAGAAAACTAGTCTTTGCTTCTGCCTCAAAGAGGAGCAGGGGGGAGAGGAGGGAGACAGGAGAGGCTGATTCAGGAGCACAGACACACTCACAACTATAAATGAACCAAAAATAAATTAATAAACAAGTTTCAGTGTTTTTTTCATATTGGAAATGGTATGTTATTGGTTATGGCCATGATTTTATGATTATTGAAATGTATACAGTTCTGTTTAATATAGGTGTTTCCATAGATCTAGTCTCTTTATTTTCCCCTCAAAATGCACCAGATTGATGCATTTAACTCCAAAATAAAAAATTAAATCTTACCGGGGGGGGGGGGGGGGGGGGCATGCCCCTGGACCCCCCTGGAGGATTTGAGGTCGACCCCCACTAAAAATCACATGGATAGGTTCCTAAATACATTTATAAATACATTTATTTTTTTAAATAGTAACCCATTTCCATATGATCATGTGTGGGTAGTAGATTTAAACTATAGGGCTATCATTATGGACCCTGCCTGTACCTGTACCTGTTCGCTCTGCCATCGCGGGAAGGGTCTGCTAACAAGCGACCAACGGAAAGGAAAGGTTAATGTTGTTGCACGTCACCTCAACCCCCCCCCCGCTACCAAGTATATTTCAGATCTGTGGGAAACACTGGCAGTTAATGGACCAGCACCAGAGGCGTTCCCATACACACAGGCGTTGGAGCTGTTCTTCATGAAATCCCAGAAGGATGAAGTGCTCTGACAAACAGTGCCATCTTTGCGCAAAATTATTATACAGGAATGAAAAGTCAATAAATAAACATGTTTCTCCAGTCCAGAGTGACATTTTGTCAACATGTGCTTCTCCTTCATCTCACGCTGTAATCAATTAAATGTATTTTCCATTGTTTAGAAAAGATAAGCAGTTTTAACTCTCAAAGACATGAAGCTTTGAGAAACCCTTTTCAGTGGTTTCTGGAGAATTTCTAGACCAAACAATGTTGCTTTCTGGAGAAAATACTCAATAATTGATATGAAAAACATCATTCGTTCAGCCCTAATGTGGTTCTACTCCACTGTAGGAGGAATGGGCTGACTGATTGTTATCAAGTTAATGTTGTTCACAGTGAACTGCACCTGGTGTCAGTATGTACTGTAGTATAGCCAATAACCCCTGTGTAGCTACAGTTCATCAGAGGAACAGAAGAGAGGACACCCTGTCTGTTGCCGGCCTGATTCTCATGTAACTGCCTCTATAATATTATTGAATGAGTATCTCCTGCATTATATAGAGTCTATATAATGCAGGAGAGACTCATTCAATAATGGTTTAAACTGAACAAATATAAAGTTCAAGAAAGGTGAGGAGTCTGGTGATTAGACCCCATCATGCTGTCATCGTTTTACAGGGTTAGTCATGCCATTAGCGTTGGTAATATTCCCTCAATGGAGTTTAAACACAGACAAGTAATTGCTTATTTAAATTCTAATTTAAATGCCACCTATTAATGCATTTGAATCTGCTCTGATTATGACACAGAGTCCACCTGAGCTTTTACCTGCAGTCTGGATCTTAGCTCACTGCCAGTCAAAACTGTTTTGCAGAGTTCCTGAGCATTTTACTCAGCTGCCAGTTACTCAACAACACCGTGTGTAGATTTAGCAGCAAGGACATTGAATTAAACGCAGTGAATACATCAAGGATGAGCTCTTTTATTTGACAGAGAAACACAAACAAGTCTCCACCTGACTGGAGAAAATTGGGAACAGTTTCAGGTTCAAATGAAGTCATAAATTGTGAAAGAGTTCTCAAAGATTGATTGAAGTCTTTTCATCAAATCAGGAGGGTTTTTCCCACACGTACAAACGATGTGATCCCCCACTGCTGTGGATCTGTGTCAGCTCTGTGAAGCCTCCCTGCCTTCCACCCATGGGGGTGAGGATAATGGGCAGCTCCCACTTAGAAAGCACATTCAAAAGGCTCTAATGACGTTCATTACCATGGCTGTTATCGTTTCATTACAAGTTGCTTGGAGTGGGACATTTACATTATGTTGTAATGGGATTTTTTCCTTTATATGAATGCAACATTTACTAAATGTTTAAATGGCTGCTTCAATTTATTCTCCTTTTTTAAATAGTCAAATACATAAACAAATGGCTGTCTCTCATTCTCTTGTTTGTATCCAAATTGAAACAGATATCTGTTAACTAAATGTAAAATAAGGCAAAATCTGTTTGTCTTAGTATGTCATCATGATATCAGTGTCTTACTGGAACAGCAAATGTGTTGTCTCTGTGTCCACTTAACATCAATTCAAACACCATGACACAATTCCATCAGATTAATGATAAAAAACCTAGAGGACATTATACTGTACAACTTCTGAAATCCTCCTCCTGCTGCCTTGATATTATTCCAACAGGATTTTTTAAAGATGTTTTGCCTTGCATGGCCTCAGATCTACTTCATATAGTAAACAAATCTCTTCACTCAGGTATGTTTCCACAGGCCCTGAAAACTGCAGTCATTAAACCGCTCTTAAAAAAGAATAATCTAGATGCTTCAGTAATGAACAATTACAGGCCCATATCAAACCTCCCATTTCTAGGTAAAATCATTGAAAAAGTTGTTTTTCAACAGTTGAGTAATTTCTTGCATTTAAATAGCTGTTTGGATGTGTTCCAGTCAGGCTTTCGTCCAAACCACAGCACTGAGACTGCTCTTGTAAAGGTCTTTAATGACATCCACTTAAACACAGACAGTGTTAGTATTATTAGATCTCAGTGCTGCGTTTGACACTGTTGACCACAGCATATTACTAGACCGACTGGAAAACTGGGTGGGACTTTCGGAAACGGTTCTAAATTGGTTTGAATCCTACTTAAAGGACAGAAACAACTTTGTTTCTATAGGTAAATACACATCTGAGTTGACAAATATGACATGTGGGGTTCCTCAAGGCTCCATCTTGGGGCCTCTTCTCTTTAACATCTACATGCTACCACTGGCTCAGATAATGAAAAACAACAAAATAAGTTACCATAGCTATGCAGATGACACACAAATTTACGTAACAATTTCACCAGGAGACTATGCTCCAATTCAAACACTGAGTAAGTGCATTGAACAAATCAATGACTGGATGTGTCAGAACTTTCTCCAATTAAACAAAGATAAAACTGAGGTAATGGTTTTTGGAGCCAAGTCAGAACGTATAAAAGTTAGCGCTGAGCTTCAGCCTGCAATGTTCAAGACAACAGATAAAGCCAGAAATCTAGGTGTAGTCATGGACTCTGACCTGAGTTTCAACAGTCACATTAAAACAGTTTTGTCAATGTCACAGCAGGATTTGGAAAAACTTGTCCATGCTTTTATCTTCAGTAGATTCGACTACTGCAATGGTGTCTTCACAGGTCTCACTAAAAAATCTATTAGGAAGCTGCAGCTGATTCAGAACGCTGCTGCTCGAGTCCTCACTAACACTAAGAAAGTGGATCACATCACTCCTGTTCTGAAGTCTTTACACTGGCTTCCTGTGTGTCAAAGAATAGATTTCAAAATACTGCTGCTGGTTTATAAACAGTGTTGTGCTAGTTACTGAAAACCAGTAACTAGTTACCATTACTAGTTACTTCATTTCAAAAGTAACTCAGTTACTTTACTAGTTACTTACACAAAAAAGTAATGCGTTAGTGAAAAGTAACGTTTTAGTTACTTACAAAAAGGGCTCCCATTAATGCCCTTATAGCCTTCATTTCAGTACTGTTATTGCATTGGAGAATAATACAATCTGTTGATCAACTTGACATGCCTTATATGCAATCTGGATTGCATCGATATTAGCTGGCTTTCCATTTTTGTATATTCTTTCTCCAGGTAGTTGGAAAAAGTTTTCCGTCCCATATGCCGTGTGCCGCCCGGACATGCTATCATGCTAACTAGCACCCTGAAAGCGGGTGACTCCACTGTAGCAATAGCCTGCATGTGTTCTACAACATACCGTGCAATGGCTTTATCGACTTTTCCCTGGCCAGCAGTCCCTTGGTTAAAATCCAGCCGCTGTTGCTTAGGTGGAGGTGGAGTGGCGTCGGCTAAGTCTCTGTGGTCTTAGCTACTAGCTTCGTCCCAGCATGTTGTTTTTGCAGATGTTTTAAGAGATTTGAATTACTGGTTTGGGCAGTAGATAGGATCTTTGACCCGCCAAGACACAACTTACATTTAACTAAAACGTTCTTTTCTTTGTGCTCGACAAAAGTGAAATAGTGAGAATATCTCCAGGTGGAGAAACTAGACATGAGCTCCGCCGCCGCCATGATAGTCTTGTTAGTAAACAACACAAACACGCCCACAGCCCGTCTCCGCATGTGACACAGGAAGTATCTAAGTACATTTACTCAAGTACTGTACTTAAGTACAGTTCTCATCTCTGTTCGCCTGGCTGTTGACTATATTAAAAAAAACTAACGGAGTAACGCACCATGTAGTAACGGTAACTGAGTTACTTAATTTAAAAAGTAATGCGTTAGAGTACTAGTTACTGTCAAAAGTGACGGCGTTACAGCAGTCCCAACACTGTTTATAAAGCACTGAATGGTTTAGGCCCAAAATACATTTCTGACCTCCTGCTAAATTATGAACCATCCAGATCTCTCAGGTCTTCAGGGACTGGTCAGCTTTCTGTCCCCAGAGTCAGAACTAAACATGGTAAAGCAGCGTTCAGTTATTATGCTCCAAATATCTGGAACAAACTCCCAGAAACCTGCAGGTCCGCTGCAACTCTGACTACTTTTAAATCCAGGCTGAAGACTTTTCTTTTTGTCGCTGCTTTTAATTGAACTATTCATATCTTAGACTGCACTGTAACTTTTATCCATGTATTTTTTCTTTTAATGTTTCTTTTATTAGCTTTTCTTTTTAATGACTGATTTTAAATGCCATTTTCTTAATGTCTTTCATTTTTTGTAAAGCACTTTGAATTGCCTTGTGTTGAAAAGTGCTATATAAATAAACTTGCCTTGCCTTGCCTTACCCTGCAGATGCCAGAATGTCTGTCAGTGACGTCCTGTCTATTTTGTGTGTGTGTGTCAGTGTTTATGCCCACATGTATGTCTGTGTGAGTCTTTATCTTTTAAGCTGGAATTGTTTTACAGTAATCCACTTTGGTTGTAAGCTTTGATCTTGAATTGGCTCATTATCTGGGTTTTGTTACTGCATCTTATCTGACTATTGTCTGCCTCTCAAAGCTTTGATTTGAAATAATGCAATCATGCATTGATGGTTTTCAGGGTCTTGCAAAAAGGATATTACTGTTAAATATTTAGAGTGTCTCTAAAACTCAATAATATGAATAAAAAATGAAATGCATAGGACACGTGTGTTTTTAAGCTTGTGTCCTTTAAAAGAGAAAAGTAATAGGCAGTTGCTGTGAAGAACAAAAGCCACTTGAACAGAATGCACAGTTTTTGAATATGTGGTGGCGTTGAACCGGCAGCTCTTTGTGTATTTTTGTACACTTAATCTGCGGTTGAACGACATGTATTTATGTGTGATGTTCCTTTGTCCTGCAGCTACCTGAAGCGTTTCAAGGTGATGAAAATCAAGGTCCTGCGTTCTTGGTGCAGACAGATCCTCAAAGGCCTTCACTTCCTGCACACCAGAGCCCCGCCCATCATCCACAGGGACCTGAAGTGTGACAATATCTTTATCACAGGGCCCACAGGCTCCGTGAAGATAGGGGACCTGGGCTTAGCCACGCTGAAGAGGGCCTCCTTCGCCAAGAGTGTCATCGGTATGAAAAAACATACACACAGCCACTGAAAACACACCTTCCTTATCTCTATGATCCTACACACTACAATCTGTACTCAGACATGAAGCTGTATATCTGAATGAAATGTTTGAGATGTGGAAAGTGAAACAGCTGACATTATTTATGGAGTTTCACATCCACACATGTTGTCTCTTAGAAGCACAATGAACACAGACACATTGTGCGCATGCCTTCTGCAGATTAATTTTACTGCTTCTAAAATGTCTGGCTGTAAAAGCAGACCGCAGGTATTTGAAATGTGAAATACACACCACTCAGTCTGCTGTGAAGGTCGGATTATGCGGTTTGGGGATGTGAAAGCTGCATACACACACACTTAAAAAATACACCACAAACACACCCGGCATATAATACCTTAAATGAAGTTGAGTAAAAAGTGACAGCTCTGCTCCGTGTTAACTTGGAAGCCTTCCAGTTGTGTAGCTAACCGCAGATATTTTGGTGTTCGTACAGATTTACGCATATTGTATATATGAAGCTGAGGTGAGAATGATATGCTTTGTAAACCTCACAGCTGCTTTGAAGTAATTAGGCAGACCTCAGGTATTTGGACAGTTGTAGCCATACACACACACACACACACACACACACACACACACACACACACACACACACACACACACACACACACACACACACACACACACACACACTCACTCAAATGTATAAAGGTCTAACAACACAACACGGCTACTATGTTTGACCAGTAAGTGAGTTTGTCATTTTAAATCTCCAGCTGTATTGAGGGACTGTTATGCATAACCATTATGCATCATAACGGACATTTTTGGCTTTTTAGTTGTTGGATAATGTTGGCTGTGTGATTGTATATGGCATACATACTGTATGATTTAAGTTAAACCTTAGTCCCTATAATGCAGCGTTTCTCAAAGTGTCACTGGTGGGGCACAGAGATGTGATAGGTGGGTCGCGAATGGACGCGATGAACGGGAGATTATTATATATTTTTTTAATAAACTTTTTGGACCTCAGGCCGGAATCGAACCTGGGTCCTCGCGGGCGGTAGTGGACTGTTTACAGCCGGAGACTCGCAACGGCGGTGGACTTTCACATCGCCGGAGCCGCCGGCCAGAGCCTTGCAACGGCGCTGTGAAAGTCCACGGACCACCTATGTCAGAGCCAGCAGCCCACCGAAGGCAACAGCCCACCAAGTGAGGGACAAGTGGGGCTTGAAAAGGCCCACCTGTTCAAAGTGGGGAATAACAGAAAACGTTTGAGAACCACTGCTATAATGAGTCTATAACAAACTGTAGATTTAATACACACCCTTATGAAAAGAAATGTCCACATTGAAACCACATTTGTGTATACCTTGGTCATTACATCTTAAAGTAATGGGTTTTATCACATCAGGTTTTTGATCTAGGGCTCTGGCTTTTAAAATCCTAGAGTTTTTAAAGAATTGTTTTAATCTAGATTGAACCAGATTTCTCATACATGCTCTTTTCCTGGTTTCCACTGTGTTTATGCTTCTGTTTATCGGGCACAGTTTTGTTTAAAGAAATGGATGAAAACCAATTTGTTTGCTATTGACATATCTCTGATTGTGAAGGGAAACAAATCCCCTAGCTTTTAGTATGCATAAATGAATTAAATCTTTGAGGATGTTCTTCCTACATTATCTGACTGAGACATTTCGTAGCTTTGATGTAACAGTTTTGTTTTTCCTCTCTCTCCTTTCCTCAGGAACCCCAGAGTTTATGGCTCCAGAGATGTATGAGGAGAAGTATGATGAGTCGGTAGATGTCTACGCCTTTGGGATGTGTATGCTGGAGATGGCTACGTCAGAGTACCCCTACTCTGAGTGTCAGAACGCGGCCCAGATCTACAGGCGGGTCACTAGTGTAAGTCTGCATCTGCTCTACTTCTTTGATCTCTTTAGATGTGAATGGTGTTGCACTGTGGAGAGACTTAATGCATCCACATGATACATCTAACATCCTTGTTTTTCGTTTTGTCTCTAACACCCCCCCACCCCACCCGTACTTGTTTACTGATTGTATTAAATGTCAGGCTTGAGCTGCAGGAGATCCTGTCATTTGACTATGTGTTTGTGTCGATAAGTCTCACTTGCTTATTTTCTCTCAACACATCTGATTATAATGCACACTCATTTTTATTATTCTTATATCTTATTTTTGTTTGGTAGCATTTTTAATTTTTGCTAAATAAACACTGATGAGAGATAGAGCTGAAATCACTGTGGGGAAAAAACCAGACAGACACCCAAACACAGACAGAGGACAACGGATGCAATCACAGGCTGCTTTAAGTGCTGCTGAGGTCATCACACACACACACACACCACACACACACACACACACACACACACACACACACACACACACACACACACACACACACACACACACACACACATACACACACACATACACACACACACACAGGCAGGCAGGCAGCTGAGAGCCGTCTCCCCACCCCCTTCCTCAAGGGGGTGATTCAGCTTTATAGAGGCTGAGACCCCATTTACACGCAAACGCATACGAAATGCAAATGAACCGAATACGATATCAAAAAAGTATTCAGCTCACACGAGACCGCTCGGGAGCACTGGAGACGCTGTAGTACATATGCTGGGCCTGTAAGTGGCGCTGTACTTTCGCCACAAAATACACCAAAAGCAGCGAAGAAGACCCCCGAGCATGGTTGCCATGGTTGCCCTTCTGTTTATGCCCAGCGGTGGATTTAGCAACATGTAGTTCATGTAATTCTCCATGTCCACTTGTTGCTGATGGTTGTGGTAGAGGAGCTGTAGATTTTGACAGTAGCTACTGACCATGCTACAGCAATGAGCAGCAGAGGTGGGGAGAGGCGGGGCTATGGCATCATGGAAATCAGGAAATGATCGTATAGGGCGTACACACTGAGCCGTTTGGCCCCCCAGAGCATTCCGTTTGCAGATCTATCCACCTTGGGACCCGTTATCGTTTGCGGGGTCCGTTTCCGCATTTCCGTTACAGCCTTGTGTGAACGAACGGGCTATACGAAAGAGAAAAGTAGCAGATACAACCGTTTGTGTTCTCGTGTAAACAGCACATGACAGTGATGGTTAATGGACCAGAGGAATTTACTAGTAAAGTAATACAAATACAAATATGAACCTGACCATGAGCAGAATATGACCCATTTGACAAAACATGATTATAGCCAGACAAAGGTTTGTGTTTAAACTTAAAAAATGTAAGTGTTATATCTTAGTATATATCATATCCTTTTGTTGCCTACTATCTGACCGGCAAATAACAATTGAAGGGATTCAGATCAAGATTGTCTAAAACTACCACTGAGAGAAAATAATAAGTCCTCGATCACTCCTCTTAATTTAGCAAGTTAACATACATCCCTCTGTCCCCTCTTATCCTTTCCCTCCTTCTTTCTATTCCCCCTTCTCACTGGTACAAAGTTAAAAACAAACCTTATTTGATTATGACTGTGACCTCACCTCTTGCTCCACAGCTCTGTTTGTGTGCATGCAATTATAATTGTACACATTATATCATTATGCTTCTCTGATCTCTGTATTCAGTCAGCCGGGCATTGAGTCAAACAACCAGCTTCAGATGTTATTGTCACACACACACACACACACACACACACACACACACTTACACACACAACCTTGTGACAACCGCAGGGTGCCCCCAGTCACCTGCTTCCTTTCATTTCACTGCCTAATCCATCCTAGCAGCTTTCCAACCCTTCGTTTCTCGCACAATTAGACCTTAGTTAACCCCTGATTCACAGTAAATGTGAATTTAAAAAAAACGTATAAAAGTGACATTTGTCCAAAATGTGTGTTATGGTCTTGTTAGAGGCGTTGCTGGACTTACATTTCATCGTATGGAGGCGGTGACAATTGAGTTTATTAATTAAGCATTTGGCCTTTGCAACAAAAGTGGAAATACACCTCAGTGAACCTTCATACTCTGTGTATTGTGAACTATACTATATGACCTGTC